TCTCCCCTGACTTTCGGTAGTTTTACGAAGTTCCCTTTGACCTACCTGCTTAGAAGAAGATGGAAACAAGAAAGATTTACTAGTATGAAGGAAAAAACGTGAAATAAGAAAGAAGATCCAAGTTGGAGCTGATTACTATGCATGCACAAGAGTTTGCTATTGGAGGGCGATATCTAACAAAGCGATTCATGAAGAAATCAAGGAAAAAAACGAAGGAGAGGCAATGATATGAAAATGTCTTTATGCTCAGGGATAGATTTTTGATCGGGGAATCCGTCCATGCTAAAAAGATCCGAAACTTATGTGAAGTGACAGAAATAGATGCTCCACACGATCTCAGATCGTCTGGTGGCCGTCTGGAGACGATCTAATTTTGGAAAAGGTATTACTTCACATAAGTTTTCAAAACTTTTTACATAGGTCTTCCTTAAATGATATTTTACTTATATGGTACAAATTTGGTGTTAAAAGTTTATGTTTACGCTCTAAACAAGCACTTTGTTTACTTTAGCCTTGCTTTCAAATCGCGCGCACTTTTCGCCATACACGATAGAGCATGTCAATCGTGTGACTAATCTGTCCGAAAGCTTGTGTTCGTCTCGTTTATTCTTGGAGCTCGGCTCCGACTCGTCAAAAACGATATCTTCTTTGCTTTTTGCTCCAAAAACGAAGTCCAGCCTGCTTCCAGACGATCTGTGCCGGGCCCTGATTGGTGTTCTGCGAGGTCTGGTGAGCGATGAAAAAAACCGACAAAACTTTCGGGACAACTCAATATATCATTTCAAATAGCGAAAAATTCCTACTTTATTGAGAAAAAGCAAATGAATGGGTTCACAGAAAGCAAACTTTTCTTAGAGGAAAATGGTCAAAAAACTCAATTTCTTAAATTGATTAGAAACTGAAATAATCCAAGATTCAAAAAGTGTTTATTCATAAAAAAATTTTTTAGTTCAAAACCGGAAGACAAGAGAACGGATGGTCCAAAGTAGCAAGAAAACTCTGTTAAAATGAGCATTTCAAGACTTGGTGATGATAAAGGAGTTAAATATGCCAAAGTAGGTCAAATAGATAGGCCAAAGTAGGTCAAAAATTGAGCAGGTCACTGATATGCTGATATAAAAGAAGACAGAGTAGATCATCGAGAACCAAAATATCTGATCTATACAGCCTCCAAAAGAGCCTCAGGCTCAACAAGCGCACGTGGAAAATTCATCGCTTCTCCAGGTATTCCATGGTTTGGTTTTACAAAAGCATCTAAGGAATTCTGAAAAAAATTTAGAAACCGGAACTCGTTGCCTGTGTCCTCCCAGTTGCATACTTCAACTAGTGAAGTTTCCCGCGAACTTCGCGGGGAACTCGATGTAAGTGAACAAGGAGTTCGCCGGGTTATCGTGTATAATATTCCAGGTTCGCGCCTCTGTTACGTCTTCCAATACCACAAAAAATTATTGTATCATGATGTCCAAATTTGTAACACAAAAAACTATTTGATTTCCTATTTGTTCACTTTTGTAATTCTAGCTGTCTGCCGACTTTTGAAGATTTATCGCTTGTATATAGTTTTGTAAACGTTTGCATGGTTCTCAATAAACTAGGAAATTTTTGCTGTTTGAAATGATGTAGATATTGACACATAAGATTGATAATATCATGTTGTCCCTGAGGCTGATATCGCACTTCAGCGCGACGAGGTGCGAGGAATCTCTCGGCGGAGAGTTTTAAACGGCGAGCGTAATTATATTGCCACATGCGGCTGCACTGAAGCCAGCCCTGGCGGCTGGCTGCGGCAGCAGTCGGCTGCCCGGGTACCACTTGCTACGCACCCTTTGACTAATCTGAGACCGATCGTCCGAGCAGTCAGAAGTTATTGGGTTGGTGTAAAAAATAATGTTCGTTTTTCCAGGTCTATGTTCCAAACAACTTTTTTCCAACAAATTTTCTTTTTCGGTGCAGATATTTCATATTATTGGGAAGCTTTCTTTACGTATTTTCCAACAGTGGTTCACTAAGGCTTTTATGCTCATTTATAAGAATTGTACCAGTATTTCGCGCATCTGCACTCAAAATCAAATTTTAGTACTTCTACTTCCTCGGCTACAATTCAGGCGCAATTAGACGAATTCTTCTGAAAACATAGTTACGGTAGGGGATGATTATTAACCTATCGCAGTTTGGGTGGATTTTTCGAAAACATCTGGACTGAGATATCGACGCGTCAATATAAGCACTTGCTGCTGGCATCCTGCCGGCTGCCTTGACCATAGGAAATTTTTGACCCTATGGGTCAAAAATTTCCTATGGTCAAGGCAGTCGCTGCTCATTCCTGTAGGCTGAGATTAGGACCTCTAGCTTACAATTATTGCAGAGAGACTCAGCTATACAGTGCATGCAGAATTCTAAGTACTTATGAATTGGGGGTTTCAGCCCTAACCATAACCACAAACATGCTCAAGAAAGGTAGACGAGTTTGGATTTATATCTTTCCTTTTCGCAGAAATCCCTGTTAAAGTGTTTTCCATATACGCATCTACTACTAGCTTGGGGCTACAAAATGAGCTGATAAATCAGCTCTAGGAAATACTTGAAGGTAGTTGTAAGGTTTCTAAAAAAGAAACTCGGTTTTTTGACTCATGTTCTTCTTCCCGTTTGCAATATCAGTATGAGTACAATATCAGTACGAGTAGGAGTGCGCCATATTAGGAAGAGTTACTGCTTTCAATGATCTTGAGCATATTTGAGAATAAGAAAACTGGATGAATTTATAACTTTTCGAATCTTTTCAAAACGGACATTATTTTTGCACCAACCTAATATATTGAGTTGTAACTATTACGATTCTGTTATTAATAGCTGATATCTCTCAAAATCTTGAGAAGAAAACATGCGGCGTCATTGCACCATCACTGTGTGTGGGGGGAAGGGGGGAGGGAGCAATGACGCCGCATGATGTTGTCTTCTCAAGGTATACCTTTACCACTTTTGAACCCTTTGTCAAACATAGACCACAGGCAGTAATGGAACAGCCAGCCATTGCTCGCCATATTTCTCTCATAAACTAAGGAATACGATTTCAATCCTGCCTTTGAGAAACTTTATTACATCCATTTGATATTCTGACATTGAAGCCTGCATAAGGCATGTTATGTTACATATAAAGTCCAAAAATTATTTTTCTTGTATAAATTATATATGGGAAATATTTGAATTTTCTTGTACATCTTCTGTGCCCTGCAGTGAGAAGACCATGATGGTGAGACGTTCTAGCCTTTTAGCACACAGTCATGTTGAAGCGATCACCTTGTTATCTGCTGCTTCAATGTTTTCACTTTTAATGGGTGAAGGCGTGCTTCTTGTTTTCTGGAAATAACGATCGCCAGAGCAAGTATTGTGTTGAAAATAGACTCAAGTTATTTTGCATCATAAATGACGCGCACCATTTAGTGCAGCAAATACATTATGAACTGCTATCATACAAATTTTTATGTAAAGTGCACAACTACACATATGTTTTTTTTAGCGCTTAAGACGCCACATTTAAACAAATCAAAACAAGCAGCTGGACATTTTAATGTCGCTTCTTAGTAAAAACGAGCATTTTATCTATTCTTTTAGCATGACTTTAGTTCATGATCGCTAGTGGACAATGTCAAGCTTTGCAGCGAGCTCACATTATTGTGATCAGTGCTGATCTGCATACATAACACTCAAAAAAAAGCTGGCGGATCAGCTATCTTTCTAAACGTTAGCTCTCAAAACAATTAAATTACTCCACTTGTAAACGACGAAGAAATTCAAATATAAACATACATCTCATGACAGTGCAAAAATAACAAAGACGGTTGACTGAACGCACAACTGATTTGATTTGAGTTAGGAAACAAAAAAGTGCGAATTTCTACAGCTTTGATAATGAGTGCAAACCAACCTCTTCGAACGGGCATTAACCCACTAACGACGACGTCTTATTTCGCCTGGTGACGGTGTGAGACGACGCGATACGCACAAAATTTCGGTGCGGAAACTTTTTTGTCTTGTTTACAAGATGTAAGGTAGTTCTTGTAGACATCTGTAAACCTTTTGAAGGACAGTCCACAGGTCCCAAAAGCCCCATCGACTGCTCCAAGTGCAAAAAACTGAGAAAAATTACTGATCCTGAAAAGGATGCCTCTGCAAGAATTGTGAGTCATTAGTGCTTCACATCTCCTTGCAGCAAAAGTGCGTGAGCTACCGGTGGTCTACATCGTCGTCAATGGTTTTGGTGACTTCACTTTAAACTTGTAAAATCTTGTAAAAATACACCTGCAGGACTTTCATAGCTTGATGTATTCCATAAAAGCCTCAGCCATGACATGCAATGTTTGAGCGGTAGTTGAATCACATTTATTATATTTCACTATGACAAAGCCTAGTACGGAGACAACTCAAACTGTAGGCTTCTTGGGTTTCAAACTTAATATTCTCGCCAAAAGGTGAATTAAGGGAGGTTTTTCAGCTGGTAGTGACACCTTTTTAGTTACAAATCAAATTGTGGAAGAACCAGCACGCCCTCGCGTATGACATACGACATGATTATCGAAAGTTCAATACATATTCACTTAATCGAGAAGTTTAGTCAGTTCGTAACGTACAGCAATATATGTAAGCTTTCTTTTTATTTGACCGGTTTAACCTTTTCTTAACAACTTCAATTCCCTTTTATGAAACACAACTACCATAAAAAAAACTGCTAACGACCACCTAGAGGGGGTCGCCTTTGGACAACTTGGAGAATACATTCATTTTTCATAGCTAATTTCTCCACTGATAAACCCGCTGCAATCATCTATAGTCCGTTTTGTGAGACAAACCGCATGCAATGTAGGCTTAAAACTGATATATTAGGGCCTCTCACAAAACCATAAAAATGCCATTTTACCAAGAAAGCAAAAGAAATGTTTGTTCGGAATATACAAATAAAACTTGTGATATAAAAGATAGAGTTTGTCCTAAAACTGCAGATTCTGGAACTTCACAGCCTGCGGAAAAGCCCTTTGCTTTCTACGAACATGAATCTATTCCTGTTCAGTTTTTTGCTGTTTCCCATCTTTCTAACAAGTGTCGTAACCAGCTATTACGCACGTATGCCTCATGGCGTGTGTACTCAGCGCCAGTGTAATGCAGAGTGTCGGAAAGCGGTAAGAAATCATCACATTTGCGCTTAGTAAATTATCAGAAAAATAGGCGGCAACGAAATCAAAAGTGTCATACTGGAGGCGAGTGACTTTCCAAACGAAGAGTAATTAAGCGACGTTGCAAGTGTCTGCGGAGAGGTGCGAAGTTTCGCACCTCACATACGTCAGTATATAGAACTGAGAAAGAACGAGAAGTGCGAAGCATCAAAAGAATCGAAACAGCTATGGTTTTTGCAAACTTCCTCTACCGCTACCATTTGAAAAAAAGAAAACTGCTCAAATAGCTTTTGCCTCAATTTGAAAAGTTCAAAAACAGACACTTATAGATCCAGGTTTGTTTCGATGAAATCGGTCGACCTTTGCCTACTCAAAAGACACACTTTTGGCCGCATTTACACTGTAAATTCCACATTTCTGTCTACAGCGAAATGCCAGTGTGGATGTGGATAGGCTCGCAGATCTTTGCAGCAATAGCCCAATCTATAACGAGACATACCGCAAATTTATCTTCTCACCTGCAAAATTCCTTAAGATGCTAGATGAGTTTGTTATTCCTTGTTATAGTATTAGCAGCCTGGTGTATCGCCAGAAGGTCGATAACCTGACAGCATTGCATGGATAACTCGTGTCCCCCCACCTCCCTTCCTCCTAGCCGCAGTAAAAATGTGGAGAAGAGAGAGAGGAGAGGCGAAGGTGTGAGGTAGATGTGAGCACTAGGTGTGAGCTTCCCGATTGCATGCAAAGTCCTCCTGCCGACATTTCGAGTTGTCGCAGCAGAGATTAGGCAGAAGAAAATTTCCGATAAAGAAGCCTTGGCGACCCCACCGACTCCACGTTAGAACTTTACAGAGATAATGTTGTTATAAAATTTCGAATAGTTCTTAGAATTCACAAGCAAAAACTACTGGCTTGCACAGTTTCATTATACATGTAAATTACCGTTAGTGGCGGTGGTTCGATCTGGTTAGGAACAAACATCTCAAATAGGCACGCTGGCTGCCGGTCCTTTCGTCCTACTGCTGCGCATCGTGTTGGGACCAGTAATCCGCGACAGCGGTGCCTAATTGAAGTGTTTATTCCTCCACCCGTTTGATCTGCTAATCCGAAGAAGTTGGTTTACCCTGCTCTTATATGAAAGTAGTACCTTCAATAAGCACAACTCCCTAGCCCACGGTGGTTATGTTCTCTACACTCCTAACCCTTGTACCTTCTCTCTCTTCGTGCATTCAAAATGTATACACTAGGTTCCCTATCTTTGCCCTTCTTTTGAGTGGGGCAGGGGCAACATCCTGATTTGGTTCGGGCACCATGAGCGAAATGCTCTATGAAAATTTCGTCATGCTTCCTTAATATACATGTCATGAGCAACTCGCTGGAAATGTCAAAAGTAACTTTATGTGATATACATATCATAAGCAACTCGCTGGAAATGTCAAAAGTAACTTTATGTGATATTGCAGGATTACACAGATGGAGAATGTGTGCGAAAGGCTACGGCTGTTAGTATCGAACTAGTGTGCAAATGCTATGCTTTTTATAATTAAGACATTCAACATGTATGCTTACAAAGCACGCTTACGAATGTCTCCTATTTTGTTTATGAATGCTTCAATTTTTTGCACAATAAAGCATTTACTTCAAGATGGAAGCTGTTGTATATAATTTTTCATTATGAAAGATTTCGTAGCATTGAAACGGAAACAATTTGAAATGGAGCTTCAAAATTAAGTGCACATCCGCGGTACAGTTTGTTCACTGATACTATTAGGTCGGTGCAAAAGTTTTGTCAATTTTTTTCAATTAAGCGGCAAATACGTTAGAATGAAGATAAACTAACACTTCAAAATGTATCCGATGCAGAATTTCTTCTTCTTTTCAGCTGCCGAACAATTATTGTGTTTCGTTGCGAGGGTGACGAGATACTTGCTGGAAATTACAACCACTCGTTTTTACCATCTCCAACTTTCGCTAATTTTCAGAATTTTTGTATGAGACTTTGTGAGAAGCCACAATAGCCAGCAGATAGGGCAAATTTTTTGCCAATGGATGCAATTTTTTTCTTTTTTTCAGCTGCTTTTTCAACCTTTGTTGAATAATTTTCTAAAAGTTTTGTTTCATGGAAAAAAGCATGACCTGTTATTGCACCAAACACTGCGAAACCTACGGAATACTGAGATTTCAACACTCGATTATTACTACCGCTACCATTGCACAGTAAATGAGCGGTTCTCGCTTCAAATTATGAAGATTTGGAAAATAGGTTACGTCAGTGCGCACTCCTAAAATTGAGAAATAATGCGATTTTCCCCGACAAATTTCGCCTTACTCGGCAAAAAAGACATGTATTGGAAGAGGAAAAAAAGTTGCATTGAATGATAACTGAAGTGTCTAACATTTTATGTTTCACGAAGTAAAATTGCCTGAATGTAAAATTGGGTCACTTCGCAAAATAAATCGTAGAAATTCTGAAAGACAAGCCATAGAGCTACAAAAAATTGCTTCTGTTGGCAGAAGGTTTGCCCTATCACCTGGTTATTAGGGCTCCTCCGAAAGTCTCATATAAAAATTTTGAAAAATAGCTTGGACATGGTAAAAACGAGTAGGTGTAATTTCCAGCAAGTAACTCGTCACCCTCGCAATAAAACACGATGATAGTTTGGCAGCTGGAAAGCAAAAGAAATTCTGCATCGGATACATTTTGAAGTATTAGCTTATTTTCATTCTAACGTGTTCGCCAATGGATCAAAGAAACTGACAAAACTTTTTGCACCAACCTAATATAATCATAAATGAGCAAGCAAAAAAAACTATGCCGCAACTAGTCCCATCTCATACTTACTTACTTACAAAGGAAAGATATTAACTCAGATTTGCCTAATGAGATGAGATGAGATGCAGCAGGAAGCTCTGACTGCAAATCTGTCTTCCTTATCTGCTTATCGCTTTTCTGAACAAAGCTGTAAACCAATAAAGGCCATTTTTTGCTAAGAAATTATGCGTGAAAATGAAAATTTAGCCGTACAGAGCCACGTTCGCCTTGATGCTGGGCCAAAAAACATGCAGCTAGCTTACTTCAAATTTTTAAAGCCAGAAGCTGAGCTAAAAGTGCAACAATGTGTTCAATTTCGCTGTTTTCATGTATGATTTTTTTTCACAAACCGCTTGTAGCTTCGTCCACAGAAGCGATAAGCAGATAAGGAAGACAGATTTGAAGTCAGCGTTTTATACTTCGAATGATATACAGCTTGTTTGGTTTGGCCCTTTCAAGATCGAAATAATTAATCTGATGCTAGTTCAACATCCTAGCACTTTTTTTCGAGCAGTCATTTATACGCCGTCCTACGACATTCAGAAGTTTGTTGATTGCTCGCAACGACAAGCCCATAACTCGCTCCGGAACAAAGCTAAGTAGCTAAGAACAATATATTTGGAATCATCGTTCAAAGCTGATTCAAATATATGTGTCTTAACTCAGAAGGCGAGACTGAGTTAGTATCCTTTCCTTATTAGATGCTACAACTGATCGACCCATCCTCACGTAACGTGCGGGCCCCAGTAAGAAGTATCCATCAATCCCTGTCCCTGTTTCGGACACCCACGATCTCATTGGTTGACGTCAGTGGCTGCGTCCTCGAGTTCGGAGGGCGAAAATCGTATCCACTGATTTCTCAGCTGGTCCATCCATTCCACGAACACATCTACCCATCTCGTTGGAGGTCTTCCTCGGGGAGGTTTTGCTTCGCAAGGAATCCACTGCGATGTTCTTAGTGTCCATCTATCGTCTGCTCTTCTCATAATATGCCTAGCCCATCGATGTTTCGTTTCCACAACGTATTCCGCTGGATTGTAAAGACGAGACATTCTTCTCATATCCGTGCTGCGAAGTCCGACTAGATGTTGCTTGTGTTGGGTCATCTTCAGAAGACTGCGCTCGAGCGCTCTGTGGGTGGTCCTTGAAGCTTTCGACGTGGCTACGGTGTCGGCCCAAGTCTTAGCTGCGTAGCAGAGCGCTGGGAGAACGGTTGAGTCGAGCAGGTGGGCACGAAGCTCCGGGTCCGTCAGTTGGTCGGTGGCTTCCTTCAGAGGCCCGAAGGCGGCCCAGGCTGCTCTTCTTCTCCTGTTAAGTTCTTCCCTCAAATTGTTCTCCATGTTCATCGGACGTCCGACATACACGTAAGAAGACGTCTCCATGATAGGGGTGTCTTCCAATTCCATTTCTGCATTTTCGCGAAAAGCGCTCTTTATGAACTGAGTTTTCTTCCGATTTATTCGCAGTCCGATCTTCTTCCCTACTTCGTTTAGGTCCTTCAGCATCGCCTCTGCTTCAGTGATCCTGCTCAAGAAAAGGACGATGTCATCCGCAAAACAAAGGTTGGATGGGAATCTCCCATCAACTCGTATGCCTCTCTCTTTCCCATCTAGGGACTTCGTCACCCGCTGCAAGGCCGCGGTGAACAGCTTCCGCGAAATAGTGTCGCTTTGTCGACACCCCCTTCCCAGTTGGATGGTCAGGGGAGACGGAATAGCTGCATCATCGTTGTACACTCCTTGTAGCAGTTGGCTAACGTCCTCACGTAAGCTGGATCCACCCCTTGATTGATCAACGCAGACAGGATGGCGTTGGTTTCAACGCTGTCAAAGGCTTTCTCGTAGTCGACAAAGGTTAGGACGAGAGGCAGTCGGTACTCCCGACAGACTTCTATGACCCTCGAAACCGTTTGGATTTGTCCACGCAGCTGATTCCTTTGCGAAATCCACGTGATTGCGGGGTTGAGCTTCATCCAGTGTCCTAGATACGCGAGCGAGGATAGTCTTTGTAAAAAGCTTGTACAGCACACTTATTAGACACATTGAAGAAGATTCTTCTGCTTACCCTTCTTGAAGAGAAAGATGGTTCTTGGCGTTTTCCACTGCTCGAATTGTCTAATTCTGAAGGGAAGATGACAGGTGAGACGCGAGAATCTCGTGCAGACGTTATTTTCCGGGTCGCAGAAATTCGACGAAAAGATGGTCTGGTCCTGGAGTTGTGGACGTCTTCGTGGTCTGAATCGCAATACTCACTTCAGCAGGTAGAATTCGTGGTGGTACTTCTCTAGTGGAAATAACGGGCATCGGCACGGGTGTTGATAAGCGGAAGAGGTTGGTATAGAAGTTCTTCGCTATAGATTCCATCTTGTATCGGGAAGAAGTAGGAGTCCCGCTTTGTTCAATGGTGCAGCCAATGGTAAGTGATATTTACAGAGGTCCCTTCGGCACTGCTTGATACTGCGTCTTCCTTCGGCTGCTTCCTGTATCTTGGCTTGCCTGTACTTCCCGAGATTCTCCTGCTAAGCTGTTCTGCATCTGCCGCTGGCTATGAGTCACTGGATGGATTCGAATTTTGCCTTAAAGATTTTCTTTCTTCGAGCAGTTCCTTGATGCATTACAGAAGGCGGTCGGGTCGTACGTTGGGTCCTCCATGATGGGCCAGTCACAACTTGATATGAGCTCTTCCTGGCTGTTACGCTCATAAACGGCTTCCTTCCTTCTTGCGGCACAGTGACAGACTTTCTTTTCCAGCCTTCGGCTGAATCGCATTTTCGCTCGAAGGAGGCGATGATAAGAGCCGCTGCAGAAGGATGGAACTAAAGACATCAAGCTAGCTCCACTTTCGGCTGGTGGGAATGTGGTCGATCTCCGCGTGAGGCGTTCCATTCGGCGATTTCCATGTGCACCGGGTTCACCGGCGAGTTTTTTCTTAATGAGGATGGAATTTCCAGGAAAAGTCGTGCGGCGGAGAGAAGCCCAACGAAACGGTTGCATTTTTCATTCCAGAGTCCATATCCAAACTTCCCTATCTTATATTCCTTTTCTAGTGATATGCCAATATTCACGTTGAAGTCGCCCACAATAAACATGCAGAAGGACTTCTCGTTGCGGACGACCCCCTCCACATCTTCTTGAAAGCATCTAGTTTTGATTCATCAGCTGCTGGTCTGATGAATCAAAACTGCTGGTTCAATGCTGATGGTCTTCCGACGTGGAGGGTCATAGTCGTAGATGGCTCATCGAAGTGATAGGATGCGAATCTCATGCGAATCGACAAGATGGACGGTGGACAACAAAGCCAACGTCCCCAAAGTTTCGAGAACCTTTCACCATAAATTATGAGAGACCCATCATTCATCTGTTGCACATCCTTCTTCCTTGACTTCGTTTCCCGCAGAGCGTTGATGCTCTGCAGTGTCGAGAAGAGCGTGGAGGTCGGCGTTTGTGGAGACTGTCCTGGCGTTGTAGGTGCAGAGCATGAGGCAGTCTCCATGGCGTGTCGTCGGGCAGACGTGTCGTTTTTGTCCAATCCGAAATGCGCTCTGAGTACCCTGACATAGTTCTTGCTATCACCCGGGACCGTTGGATCCGATGTACACAGTTTCTTTCTATTCTTCTAACTGCCGACTAGACCTACTCTTGACTTCCACGGGACGATCGCTGACTTGAATGTGGAGCGGGGAGAACCGCCTAGCCACCAGAAAACTAGACAGTGGTGAATCTGGCATGGGGGCTCTTAGCTAAAGCATTCGACCGTACTCGGAAACGTTGAACTCCTTCACAGCTTGGGAGGCCCTACCAGATTATTCACTCGGCTGTGCATCAC